CCAACTAGAAGTGCAGACAGATTAGGAAAGAACACAAGGATGAATCACACAGGTGCATATGCCTCCCTGTTTGTAGCATTCACCACTTCAGCGTATCATGGGTTGTCTTGGTAAACTCACAAGCATCCTATTGGCACACATGTGTAAGGTACATGCTGAAAGATTATGAAGTTGTTCCACATTGGAATGGAAGCTCATGATTTTATCAAGTGCTGTACTGCATTTAAAGCCAAACATTTCCATTTCCTCTGAAAACAGATAAGTTCACTGCTCTGAACTAAACCAACACACAGTCCAGAGAAACCATGAGGGAATGACGTCAGAACTGTATCGCTGCTCCAAATCAATTGCTGCTCTAGAACTAAGCTATTGCTTTCCTAGAACTAACTCCTAAACATCTGAAAATACAATCACTATACTAAGGCTCCAGACAGAGGACACATCATTTGTTTGAAACTTCCCACTGTGATCGTTATCAGCCTCACTTCTCTAAGCTTCTGTCTTCACTGCAAATTTATCTCATTTCAGCTTCCAACTATTAAACCTTGTTTGGCTGCTACTTGTAGATAATCTCCCATTTCTCTTCCACATGTAACTTCATATAGACTGAAGAAATATCTTGTTAGCCTTCAGCAAATATGCTTTCTTGCTATTGTTATTTTCTAATCTTCTACTCAACTTTTTTTTTTTTTAGTCATTTTAAACAGAGACTTAAAGACAGACAGATGCATTTGAAGAACTAGAACACTGCTCCTGACTCATTATTTGTTTACAGTATTGAGATATCTTTTAATTAAGTTACTAAACTGGGACACCAGAAATAAGGCCTACATTGCACCTCTCTTCAACAGTTTTGATCAACAGATCTTTTAATCAGTTTTTTTGTTGGATCCAAGTTTAAGGACACAGGAATTCAAAAGTACCAAGAGAATTTCAAGTCTATCCAAGTGCCTAGCGCCCACTGAAGTCATTCCCTTGTACCTCAATCTCTCCATTTCAGAGAGCAAGCAGTACTGCCTCCTAATCTTGGCAAGATAATCTATTTCGATTTAAATTTCTTCAATCTTATAGTCATGACAGCATTTAGACAGAGTAGTCCTCTATTGTCATCTGCAACAACACTGTCATAAAGAGAAAAACTTCTTATTCTTGCTGTAAAAGGCTTGAGAAATCAGAAACACTGGCTTGCTCTGGCTCCAGAATAACAAGAACAACTGGGTCAGATCAAGGATCCACACAGCACAGTATTCTGCCTTTGACTGATAAGGCAAAAAATTCTGGTTTATCTTCAGATCAAAAAAATCTTTCTGTAAAGATTTCCTTGGAAAATGATATGACATTTTCGACAGCAGGCAAAAGTAGATGCCCAGGAAATAAAAAAATAGGGCAAAGACACTACTTTGTCACTAAACATCTTATGCTTTTAATCATATTCACAGCTTCAAGTATAAATGTAACCTCACTTCCTGATACGAGTGAGCGATCAACCCTGCCATCCCCTTCCTTGTGGGCCAGTTTTGTTCTCTGACAAAGCCTGTTCCTGTTACAAGGGTGGGTGGGATGGTGCATGTGTGTGTATGCCCATGTAAATAACCGATCACCAAGGACTTCTGGCACTAGAAGTGATATCTTGGTATTTAGCAGCCTACCCTTACTGGATTTTTACTCAATTAACTTGTTCACTTCTGTTTGACCACATACATACCTTAAGTACCTAAAACATCAAGAAACATGGGATTTCAGTTTAATCTACACATTATGTGGGAAATCGTTTTGCTTGTTCTAAACCTGTATGCTGCTGGTTCCATTTAAGGCCTCAGGTTCCTATACTGAAAAAAAATACATGACCCATACTTACTTTGGTGTTAAAGAATAAAGATGAGTCAGCTCATCTAGCACTGACATTGTGGAAAGAAGTGTCAGTTCACTGTTCTAAATTCAAAAAGGTTAAAATGCTTCCAGCTACAGCAAACAAGAGAATTAACTACAAGAAAAGTTGTAAAATGGGATTGAAGACACTATAAAATTATAATAAAAAATAAAAAGCTGTGAAGACAAAGGAAAACTACACCTAATGTTCTCATAACATGTTTTAACTCACCTGTAATGAAACGTGGATCTTTTAACCAGCCTGGAGGGTATTTTGCATAGTTGCTTAAGCTTCGGCCTTGCAAGTATCCATTGTAAACACAGAACAGAAGTGCTAGCACAAAAGTGAAAAACGGTGTTGGTTTTCCTTCCCGGATCAGAAGAGGAAATATGAGTGCCCTGTAGTGAACGAAAGGGAAAGAAAATTTGTAGCATTAACAAACATAAAAGATAATTTTGATGTTCAAAACTGTAATCCATAGTCTGCATTATCCTGCTTTTCAAATTCTCAGCAGACTCTTTGATCCCAGTTCAGAAGATAATTATGCTTGCTTTACTACTTAAAGGTTAACTTTGTTGCCTAATTGGAATTACAAGATCAGCCCTCTCTCCCCTTAAGATGGAAATTTTGAACTTTGTATCCAAGGCAATTACTTTTAATTAAACCAGAGCAGCAAAGACAACTGTTGTTAAGCACAACATATTTTTGTCCTCCTTTGGTCCTAAATCCTTGGTAGTATCATCAAGCTTTATGAAATGAGCCAGGTCTCACAATCCCTACACCAAATCCACCAGCACCTTCAGTGGGGAAAATCAATCCCCTTGAAATTAATGCAACTGAGTTCAGCTTCCTCCTTGCCCTGAAAGTCACTTAAAAACATTAATTGATTTGCCTTGACAATCTTGGTCTAACCTATGATACCTGTTAAAATGTGACAAAGTCACAACTGCCATCCCATTTGGGAAAGGAACCCTGATTCCCAGATTACTTGAATAAACAAACATGCTCTAAACAAACAAACAAACAAAAAAAAGCAGGTGAATGTTTTTGTGCTCTGTCCCATGTCACATGCCAACTCCCAATCACCTACCAATTTAATTACAATCTATGATTTAGGAGCAGGACTACTGAAACCTGAGCAATGACCACATGGTTTTTAGCTGCCAAGGGACTACTGCTTTAAAGGAGCATTTCCAGAGGAAGCAAAACCATAACAGCTTTCAAGAAAGCATGACAAATTCATTAATATGATTATTTAAAGCCCCACTACATTACACCAAACAGAATTGGCTAACAGAGGTCTCTTCCAGTCTACATTCACCTACAGAACAGTCCCTCAGTCCGGCAACAGCAATAAGCAACTAGAAAAAAGGAACTGCAGTACAGATCAGCTTTCTGTACAAACCTCTGCTTCTCATTTCCTAGCTTTTCCCATAAGATCCCATGCTTAAGCTAATCCCTTTACTCTTAAAAATGCAAAAAGAGGAAGTAAAGACACACTCCCGGGTTTGCAAAGCTGGTCACCCACCAGGTAGCCGTACTTTGCGTTGCTCTCAGCTGTGAGGATGTGGAATACTGTCGGTCAAAAGCACCAGCCTCTTGCAATAAGCATGGGAAAACAACTGCATATCAGCCACACGCTCGGCTTAAAATCAGCCTGACAAATCTATCTCTGCTGTATTAGTATGGTGACAAAATTACTTGTGGAGTAACACCAGTAATTATTGCCAGTGACTAGAAGGAAAGAGCAAAATCTTGTGTGAGCTCCAGCTAAGCTGCCTTCACCTGTGCAGTTTTACGAAATACCCAGATACCATTGACTACACGGCAACACCCAACACTCAGTCCCAGCTTTCCTCATGTTTTAATCAATCACGGAATATGCTGAGCTGGAAGGGATCCACAAGAGTGATCGAGTCCAACTCCCGAAATGAACACTTGTGTTGAAAGACATAATCGGAAAATAGCTGCTGTTCCACAAAACTAAGAAGTTGTATCAGGATCCAGAGCTGCACTTTCCTTGCTGGAACATTATGTACTTAAGGTTATCTGATCAAGTCGTTGCTTAAACGGGAACCGTCCCAAGAGCCACGGCTGTAGGGTACGGATGACACCGCACGCAGCCCCAAACGCTCCGTTTCGACGCCGACTCTGAAAGGCGCCGCGGCACCCCACCGCACCCCGCGCACCGGCAAAACAAAGCGGCAAGCCCCGCGCCGCCACAACGACCTGCCCGGCTCGCCTAGGAACGTGGAACGTCTGCGCGGAAAAAAAGACCTCGGCGATTAGCACGCTCAGCAACAAACGCTAAGGAAGAGCAGAGAACCCCGGATCCCCGCCGCCGGTCACTTCCCTCAAGCCTGGCCCCGAGCTGCGCTTCTCCGGCCGCCCCGGGCGAGCGGGACCTGCAGCCGGGCGCCGCGGGGACATGCACCCACCCACCCACACCCACGCCCACCCACCCACACCCACACCCCCCCCCACCCACACCCCCGCACCTGTGCACGTAGTGCAGGACGAAGCACCCCAGCAGCAGGCGGTTAGGCCAGGCGGCGGCGACCTCCCCGCCGCAGGCGCCAAGCCCCAGCGGGATGAGGAGGGCGGGCAGCTCCTGCAGCGCCCAGGCGGGCCGGGCGGGCAGCAGCCAGCCGAAGCGCCGCGAGGAGTACCGGCCGTAGGGCATGGGGATGAAGAGGAGCAGGGTGGCGGAGGCGGCGCCCAGCGCCACCAGTCCCCAGGAGAGCAGCTCCAGCAGCCGCCGCTCCTCCGGGCCCGCCGCCCGCCGCCAGAACCCGCACGCGCCGCCGCCATCGTCCCCCATCCCGCACCGCAGGCGAGCGAGCGCCCGCGCGCGCGCCCCACCGCCTCCATTCAGCGGCCGGCCGCCGGCACGCCCGCCGCCACCGCCCAATCGGCGCCTTGGGGCGGGGCCTGAGCTGCTGCGCTCCCCCCCAAACCCCGCTCCGGTTGGTGGCGCCGCCGCCGGCCGGAGAAGCGCTCCCGAGTGGAAGTTCCACCGCGCCGGGGCGGCGCCGCGACGCGAAGTAGCGTAGCGTAGCGTAGCGTAGCGTAGCGTAGCGTAGCGTAGCGTAACGTAACGTAACGCAACGCGGCGCAACGCACGCCCGGAAGTGGGCTGTCTGAGGGGCAGGGGGAAGGCCCCGCGTGATCGCGTCTCGCAGCGAGCACGCGGTGCGGAGTCCTTTCGGCCCCGCGGCCGGGAGGGGCTGCCGCGACGGCGGGGCTGGGCCGGTGCGTGGCTGCCATGGGCCGCCGCGCGCGCGACCGCAGGTGGCAGCGGCAGCGGCGGCAGGAGCCGGGCGGCGGTGGCGGCGGCGGCGTGGATCAGGCGGTGAGAGCCGGGGCGGGGACGGGAGGGAAGGGAAGGGAAGGGAAGCAGCGGGGCCGGCAGGCTGACAGTGGCGGCGTGTTTCAGTGCTGGGCTGGCGGCTACCCCGAGATCGTGAAGGAGAACGAGCTGTTCGAGCGGTACTACCGGGAGCTGGGCATCGTGCCCGCCGGCGAGTGGGGCGCCTTCATGGCGGCGCTGAGGGAGCCGCTGCCCGCCACGCTGCGCATCACCGGCTACCGGAGGTAGGGCCTGGGGGTGGGCAGGGGGCCTGGCGCGCCGGGGGACCCTGCGGTGGCAAGGCCCCGCCGATTTTGCGGCGGAGGCCCCTCTGTCGTCTGAAGAAGGTGTGTCGCCATCCGGTCGCCTTCCGCGGGTCTCTCTCTTGCAGCCACGCCAGAGAGATTCTCCACTGCTTAAAGGAAAAGTACTTCAGAGAGCTGCAGGACCTGGAGGTGGATGGCCAAAAAGTTGAAATGCCGCAGCCGCTGAGCTGGTAAGCGAGCTGGAAGCAAAATAAGGCACCCTGTGTATTCCCGACACCGAGCCGGACGAGCTCGGTTTCTTTCTTTTGCTTCCACCCTTTTCCCATCTCTTTTCCCCCAGGTATCCAGAAGAGTTAGCCTGGCACACTAACTTGAGCAGAAAAATCTTACGCAAGTCGCCACAGCTGGAAAAGTTTCATCAGTTTCTGGTTAGCGAGACAGAATGTGTAAGTTTTGAATAGATCTTGATTTTTTTTTTTTTTTTCTATTTCATATCCTGTGCAGTGTTTTATTTAAAAGCATTATGAGATATAAGAGAAAGGGTGCAGTCTCAATAAGTTGACTAGCTTGGAAGACTTTATGTTGCTGCTGACAGTGATTCATCGCATAACTCTGGCACATAACTGCAGTTGCATATACTTCTCCTAAACTTAATTGCAGGTTTTTTTGTTTGGGAGTGTGAAAATGAGTCACTATAAAATAATTATTTACTGTTAGAAAACAGATTTTTAAGTCTTGTAAAGAGTGCATGTGTGTATGTAACAAGACTTACCTTTAGTAATGGAGATTTATCACTTGGTTGAAGCCAGCTTCTCATGTGTTTTAAGCAGAAACTATATCCAGAGAATTAACAAAATTGGAGTAAATACGCAATTCTCAGAAATTTCGATTGGATGAAATACTGTGATTTTTTTGTTGTTGTTGATGTTAAATGCTAACAAAATGTAATCCTAAATTTATAATAATGTGGGTTTGATTGCTTTATTATTTTTTTATAGAGAGAATTTTTTTAAAAATAATGCTAAACAAAAGGAATTTATTTATTTATTTTTCCTTTCAAGGGAAATATCAGTCGTCAGGAGGCTGTTAGTATGATCCCACCCCTGCTGCTTAATGTTAACCCTCATCATAAGGTAACTAGAATATACAGTGTACTTGATTTTTTTCCTATAAAATAGATGAAATTACAAATTACAACAGCCGTGTCAATGCTGATGCACAATTCTGGTTTGTGTTGGTATGTTTTATGCTTTCTGCCTGTAAACAAGAGCAGTCAGCTAGTGTTCAGGTAACATATACACTGTCAGAGGAACATCTACTTGTTCAGCTCTGTGTAATACCCTGCAAAAAACACTTAAGTTTTAAGTAGTTACATAATCTTACTTTCAAGTGTAAAGGTATTTAGCTGCATCTAAGTTACATAGGCATGTTTCAACCCCCTTTTAAAGATAGATGACTCTTTTGAACTTCCTGCTGTCCATCACACTGTGAACAGAGGTAGTTTTCCAGATCCAAATGATAGTGTTGTCTACCCGGTAGTTTTCACCCCGCTATGCCTTTTGAAGAAGTTGCAAACTTCTGCTCTATAAATCTGTTAGGCAAAATAATTTGAGTGAGCTGAAGCATGTTGTTGATGGTGGCTAAACTGTATAGGTTACTAACTTTAACTGAGGTGTCTAAGGAATGCCCATGATATTTTCTAATGGCAGATTGTAGGAATGGGGGTATCTGGTAGCAAACTGCTGTCCTAACCTTAGTGTTGTTTTCATACTCTGTTGGATGGCATTATTCTCTTAATCTGTTAAATTAACAAGCTAGTTAGAAGTGCCTTGCTATCTCAAGCAGCCATGTGCACTTCTTTCTTAAAATTTTCATGTTGTATCTCAAAATTTTAAGTCTTTCAACTTTCTGACCTACATGTTTTAAACACTTGTTTGTACATACTCACTTATATATTAACATTGCTTAGCATATGTAACTTTTCAGTTTTTTTCTTACTTTCACCCCAACCCAATGCATGACACAGGGCTGATGGCTATTTTATGTGAAGCCATGTCTTCTCATCTCTTAGATGAATAATGAATTGAGTGATAGATTCAGTCCCAAAGTGTCACATGTGCATTTTGAGTTTTGTCTGCAATTGAGCAAGTACTGAATGTGTTTGACTTAATGTAAAACACAAACTGTGAGAATATTTTTGCACACACCTCACTTATATTGCACATACTAGCTAGCAGTATATGTGTTTTGCGTTGAAAGTTTAACTTTGGTGACTGTATTTCAGCAAGCACCTTCCAAAAATGCATGTAAAATTTCACAAATTTGCTCATAAGTCAGACTCAGAATAGGTTCTTTATCCTGTCTTGTGACAAGACAGCAAGTGGTTGCTGTCATGATGCCTTGGCTGTTGTAATTTAGGACCTTTTATGGTCCTTGGTACCTTATTTTCTGAGCTGCTTGTTACGACCAGAATTGCAGGGTTTAGTCTTGTTCATGCCAGGGGCTTGCATATGGATCTGAGCAGATCCATCCCCATCTTTTATCTTGTTGCATTATTTCAGCTAACTTTTACTGGAGCTAAAGGTCCAGAAGATAGTCATATGCTTCTGAAAATCTGTAACTAGGCATGAGGAAAGACTCTGAGCTTCCTTACTTAAGAAAACAGCTGTCAGATGGTTTGCTGTGAAAGTAATTCTATGAATGACTTGATCACAAGCCAAGTTTGCAATGAACTGGGAGGTTCACTATATACTCGAAATCAGGTGTTGGTGCCTGTGCTGTTCTGTTCTGCTGCATGAGGGCAGTTCAAATACTTCCCAAGTGCTTCTTCCAGGATATAGAAACAAGCAGTTTGTGCTCCCTTGATTTTTTCATTAAAGTGAAAATGTGTGGGGAGGGAGAGCAGTTCATTTTTATAAAATTAGCTGTGTCTAATAGTCTCTGATTAATTTATTGATAGTTAAAGTAGTGCTTGCTCTTGAATGTAACTTTGCTCTTAATGTGTGTGTATATGTAAAGTTCAGTTAACTTCAGTCAGAATTGCTTGTGAGCTGATAAAATGACCATATTCCCATATCTGTATTCATATTTCTCTGTCAAATTTTTTGTCAGCAGATGTATTTCTTCCGTGCAAACCAAAGTCCTTTTTTATATATTAGACCCCTCAGAGAAAAAGCATACAAAGAACAGAACTGTACTTTGTTTTTGCAAATTGGTGTTCAGCACGATCATAATTCTTCAAGTGTATGCAGAAATATTTAACTTAAACTTGAACACATAGTAAATTTATCAATTATTTAAATAATACAGGATGGGACTTTTTTTTTAACTTTCTGGTGTTTGTAGATTCTAGATATGTGTGCTGCACCTGGATCTAAGACTGCACAACTCATTGAGATGTTGCATGCAGACATGAGTGTTCCTTTTCCCAGTAAGTCTGGAAAAACTACCGAAAACTTTTGTGACATTGAATTTCTGCTTATCCTTGTAGAAGATTATTTTTTAATATCACAGATAAGTAGCTGCATTTAACTAAATAATGACTTTCCAAAATGTTTGAGTGATATGAGATGGGAAGTACCCCACCTTTTCCTTGAAAGTTTCTGGGCTTCATTTGCCTTGAAGGAGAAAGATGGACTATATATATATCTTCACAGTTCAGACTATAGTATGTTTGATTAGATCTTAATTTTTGTATATGAATCAGATTTACTTGGTAGATGGTGGCCCATAAGCCCTTGTGTTTTAGTGGTATTCTGCAAACACTGGATTAAGCTGCTTTAGCCTTAAAATGGTCATGATAGTTACCTTTACTGTAAGTTTCAGAGTCTTTACTTTCAGTTAGATGCTCACAGAAAATAGTTTGTGAAGTTGGGGGAAGTGGATTCTTTCTGTGTTCTACTGAAAATCTGCTGATGCACGGAGATTGTCTTTGGTGGCAGTGGAGGTATCCTCTGTTACAAGGGTTTTACTTTGAAAAGTTGAAGAGCTTTGGGTTGCATCTTATTGCAACTACATGGAAGTTAGAACTCTTGAGACTATATTTGACACAGCAGTTAAACTTCAACATGCTTTATGTTATTTTATGTTCAGTAAGGGCTCCTCTATTCATAAGCAGTCTTTTAAGTAAAAAATCTCTAGTGAAAGGTTTACACAACTTTGAAGATAAGCCAATAAGCTATGTAAAATTATTTAGCTGTTGAATTGTAAAGCATCTTCCCACTATTTTATGTTCCCAGAGGGTTTTGTGATTGCTAATGATGTTGACAACAAGCGCTGCTATTTGCTGGTTCATCAGGCTAAGAGATTAAACAGCCCGTGCATCATGGTGGTAAATCATGATGCCTCCAGCATTCCTAATCTACAAATAGATGTTGATGGAGGAAAAGAGGTCCTCTTCTATGACAGAATTTTATGTGACGTCCCCTGCAGGTAACTTGCATATAATCTTCAATACACAGATTTTAGTGCAGTGCTAGAATTTTTGTGTTACTGAGCTACGCTTTTTGAGTCACTTAGTGTGTTATGATTTATAGTAACTTCCAAAACAGATGAATGCCTTAAACTGTCTTAGGTAATGGGGTACCAAATCAAGGTGAATTTTTTTCATTCCAATTGATACTTAAATTTGGTCAGTTGAAGGGCTTCAAATTTTGAACTTACAGTCAGGATACTGAAATACAAAGATAGTGTAGAAACAAACAGTATAGCATAGAAGAACTAGTTAACATGGGAAAAGGACTGTTAATTTTTTGTTGTTATAAATGACTTGAGTATGAAATGAGTTTTGTCCATAAATAATACAAATCTGTTCAACCTCTGTTACAGTGGAGATGGAACCATGAGGAAAAACATTGATGTATGGAAGAAGTGGACAACACAAAACAGTTTGCAGCTCCATGGGTAAAAATGTTTATTACACATCTGTATTTCTTTCATTTGTTTCCTCCTTTTCCCATAGCTTTAACATCTGCATGTATTCGCATGTTAATATGTGACAAAGCAGAGACTAAGAAGAGCCACTTTTCTTTCAAATCAAGAGCTTATGTGCTATTCAGAAAGTGTAATGTTTCAGCTGTGAGGAGTGGAGCGTGTGAATCTAAATTGCTTGTATTCTTATGAATATCTGACATATTAATGTTCATTGAATTAATTTAGACAATATGCCTAATAAAATGGGGAACAAATAATTTGGTTGGGATTCTCAGCATTTAGGCAGGTAAAACACTGTTGGAAAACACAGAAACTTGTAAAATTTAGTAGTAATGTTTTAAAGTCTTTAGACTATTCGAGATCAAACATAACCAGCTTCAGTTACCTGAGATTGATTTATGTTAACTGATGGCAAATGAGTACTTAGCCTTGTGCAGGTACATGGTAAAAAGCAGTAATTTAAACAGAGATGAAAAATCTTAGAACATTTTACTGTGCGTTTGTAACAAGCTGCGAATGCTGTCAGTTACTGTGACACAGCTGACCTATGGTGACTTGTTACAGCTTGGTAAGTCATTCATAATTGCATGTTTTATTTTAGTTGTAAGTATGCAAGTAGGGTGTAAGTTGGTGATCCAGCTCAGTGACACTTTCCTCAGAAGGCCGATGCTAGCTAATCTGTGTTGTTCATAATATTTGTAATAGTCAGATCGCTCCTCATTTTAGCTCTAGATTTCTGAAAATAAGAGTCAGCTTTTGGGGTATAATTTCTCTAGTGATGAGTACTTTATAATAAACTTGATGGGGCACTAGAAAGAACAAAATACAGAGTGTTAAAAGTTACCATGCATGTTGTGTTAATGTTTGACCTAATTGCTGTTTAAATAGGTGTAATTGTGAGTGTGTCTGCAGTATAGACTGCACTAAGCTGAGTTACTTTAAACCTGACTTTAATTTGTGTACTGGTGACAGCTGTGGAACTCAGTAAGTACTGGCTTAGTCCATGGAGAGTTACGTGTCTACAATATAGCCTCACTTGTAAGAAATTTGATGGCAAATCTTTCTGGTTCCTGAGTCATACCTGGCTAGACCAAGAGTGTTCTGTTAGATTGCAGTTAAGAATTGCAACCCGTGGTGTTGAACAGCTGGCAGAAGGCGGGAGAATGGTATATTCTACATGTTCATTGAATCCTATTGAAAATGAAGCTGTGATCGCATCTCTGCTGGAAAAGAGTCAAGGTGAGAATGTGGGCTTGGACTGAGTGAGAAATTTTTTTCTCCACCCAAAGAGGTATATGTATATGATAGTGCTAGAAATAAGCTTAATGTAGGTAATGTGCTCCTAGTATGCAAAACCGCAGCAATTTTCTGGTACTGGTAGGATTTCAGTGGTGTTGATATGAGCAGTCTTCATGAATGGGTCTAAATCAGATGGAGACACAAAATCTGAAGAAGCTGTGTTAATGATACACAAAGACTTCTACAGATCAATGGAATTCAGCTTGTGTTTATCTGGCTTCTGCTAACCTATTCCACTGGTTGCAATCCATGTCTGACATTCATATTTCCTTTGGAAAACACATCATGGGACATTACTACTGTATGTTATAGGAGCAAAAAGCCCAGAGCGTACTTAAGCAGTTAGAGGAATGTTATTGTGCACCAGTAGGTGGGAGTCACTGATACTTTTATTGTCCTTTGGCCCCCATTTTGGCATGGTTGGAATTTTAATGTCTTTAAGATCATGGGGGTTTTTTTACACTTTTGACTTGCATATGAAGGCTTGCTTAAGTTAAGCCTCCATCATCTGAAGTAAGAAAAGGTGGGAAAATTGAGATGAGCTGAGAAGCTGCACTGCATCAGTTTGTGGTAGTATGGTTTAGCAGCCCAAATTTCTGGCCTTGAGCTGATGGACACTTTTTTCTGAGTCAGTAACCTGAAGTTTATAGACATCTAACTGGATTTTGCATGAAAAGTTCCATGCCTTTAAGTTGCTTTGTCCAGAGCAGAAGCAGTTGTACTGCTGCTGGAGCTGAGCTCATTCTGGAAGTAGAGAAGTAGAAGCCCGTTTTGTGTAACATTTTCTTTGTGCCAATCACTCTTCTGGCCTGAAATTATACATGAAGTGTCATTGACTCAGAAACAGCAGTTTAGCTAAAATGCCTGTAGATAATTAGGAACTGACTATTCAATTTCCATTCAAAGGACATTTTGATTTGGAGGTAGTTTCTTTGGCAGACGAGTGAAAGAACAACATAGACATGTTTCCAGTAAACTATAGTATGTTTGTCTTATTGAAGTCTGTAGTATGCCAGGGTTAAGTTTAATGATGACAAGACTGGAAGGCAGTAAGAACTAGTTTGGATAGGAGCATGTAACAGTATGGATCTTAACAGAGGCCAGCAACTGCAGCATCTGGGGCAAATTCAGTACTTGGAAGTAAGGATCTTTGACTCTCTGTGTCATTCAGACTTTGTCTTTGCGCAGTGCAGGTATTTTGAGGCTTACATGGATGCTATGATGTCCCAGCAAGCAAATGTTACCCTTGGGGCTTGAACATAGGTGTTGCTAAAGAAGGGTGAGGTAATGCAGTGGTCTGCAAGGAGCATTGTACCTCAAAGATTTGCTCAGATCAATCCAGAAGGTTGTTAGTTCTTCAGTGTTAACTTAGTGGCTAGCACTGTGTTACACTGCTACTTGGGGAGCAGATCAGAGATTGCTTCCACCTTACGGCAGAAGGAGTAAGGAAAACACATTTTTGTATCATGTCTCTCTACTGGGAATTGTAACACTTCTGACAGACTGTTTAGTACCTGATCAGTCTGATGTAGTCTTGAGGCATCAGCTGAAGTCATGCTGTAGGTAGGCAGGAATATTCAAAGGACAGATGCAAACATCGAGTTTAATCATATTTGAAATGTCATTTTGGAATTTGTGAATTCATGTATCACTTTTTCATTTATTCAGAAGACTTGCTTAAACTCTCACTGTAAGAGTAAATGGTTAGTCATACAGAACAGGTTGATCAATTGTGTACAACATGAGAAAAAGCTTACCTAACTGTTAAATAATTAGGTATTCAGAATCACAAAAAAAGAAATTTTAAGGTTATTCTTCTCCAGAGAGATCAACTATGTAAACAGTAAGTTTTTATATCATCCTTTCTGGACTTGGGACAGCTTAACATTTTTATTCAGTATATTAAATTATACTCTGTTGATGTTTCTTGTAATCTGACATATTTTAGTCACATAGCCTTTTGTCCTGTTAGGTTGATAGTACTTACCTGTTTAACAGTTTGGAATTTTCCTTTCCACTTAAAAAGTAGTAAACTCTTTTTCCTCTCACACTGGAATATATTAAGATTGTAAGTCCATAAAATGATAATATATCAAGCATTTTAAAAGGCTTAGTCATCCCAAAAGAGTAGTCCTCTGAAAAATACTTAATTAGTGTAGTAAATCGAAATACTAAGTAAATGAGACTAAAACTTCTGTGACTGCTTTGCCTTCAACACTGACATTTAATGATACAGGTTGTAGAGTATTAATCTGTGCAGCTGCTACAAAAAGTATCTAAGCATTATATTTTGGTTAATTTATAGGTTGCAAACTTCGGTAGTTATTATGAACAGTTCTAATCATCTTTCTTGTTAATTTACACAGTAGTAATTGTATAACATTTTATTCCTTGCAAGTTTTAAAAAGCAATGGTTTTTAATTGTTCTTAAAACTTAAAGGAAAACTTTTTATAAAAGTTAATAAGGAACACAGTTTCAAATTCTGTTTTCAAGAATGTTTATATTAATTGGATTTCAGGTGCCTTAGAACTTGCTGATGTCTCTTCTGAGTTACCAGGTTTGAAGAGGATGCCAGGAATTACAAAATGGAAGGTACTTAATCTGGTATTTCTGTGAAGTTCTTGGTCTGTGATAGAGTGTTAAATTGGGGAAATTTTGAAGTGTAACATTTCAAAACATTAGATTCAGCTGAAGTAATGGTAGTGATTTGCTCTTTAGACTTTTAGACAATATAATATTGTAGGTGAGAGGGCTAAAAATATTTCTGGCGGTAAGTTCTTGTCTCCTCAGCATCTCTCCTCTTTTTCCTCTAGCTTTCTTTGCTTTTGTTTCCTATGCTTAATATAATTCCCTTTTCTGTTGTGTGCATGTGGCCTGTAGATGGCAGCATAATTTCAGCCACTTTTTTAAGTTATCCCTCCTCCTGTCTTTACAGTCTGTGAGCTTTAGATTCTGCAGTTCTTTAGCTGGTCCATTTGAATCATTCGGAAGTAAAAGCTGTTAAACCCTTTCTGGAAATAGGCTATAAAACGTGTAGTGTTATGAGTAATCTAGAGTATTAATAGAATCTTGTATTTTGTTCCAAGCCTTATGTGATTTCAGTTCTGGAAACAGACTAGTAGGGAGGGGCAAAAAACCCCAAAGCTTCTTCAGCTTCCTGTTAAGAATATAATCAAGAAGAGTAGAAGGCCATCCTGGTAGTAGGGAGAGAAATTCATATTAAATTTTAATTGTGAGCACATGCCTTTGCAACACCATTGGTTTTTCTGTCCTCTCTCACCATCTCACTAGTGTCTTGCAAAGGCAGTCTGCAAACTTATGCCTGTGTATAAGCTAATGAACAAGATGCATGGAATAAAGATTTGCTTATGTTCTGTCATGGAAATTCAGCTTAGAAAGTAGCTGTTTTCTTTCTTCTTACAGTTCCACAAGTTTAATTTGTATGCTTTTATCTGAGGATAAAGGTAAAATGTGTAACTGTGGCTCTGTGATCTCAATTTTACTTTCTTCTTGTACTGTGTAAGTCTACAAAATATATACATAAAGATCACTATGAGTATATTGTATTCCCTGTAACATTTGTTGCTCTGTTTGCAGTTGAAATATAGTTCTCCCTGAGGGGTATTTTTAAAAGTAGACTAATAAAATCTGTTGAAAGTTTGCAAGACTTTCTTCAGCCCTTATTTGCTGCTACTGTATATTTTTCAGGCCTCATTGGCTAGCTCGGCATTGAATGTATTTGCGTGCCTTGCTGCTGTTTTTATTTGGTGTAGTCTTTTGTTTGCTGGTGAAAGATCTGTTTAGTGGCAGCTCTGCAACTTAGTAATTACATTGAATATTCCTGAGCATCAGTTGACTGTAAATATCTGGAAACAGCAAAAAAAAAATAAGGTTTTGTTCAAGTGACACTTTGGTGCCTAGAAATAGCATTCAGTACTCTCTTCTTCAGCCATACAATGAATAAGCTCCAATGAATTATTTTAGAGTCTTGAAGGAAGAGGCCTTTTTAACTCTAGGTCTGGTATTCTACTTCCACAACACTTTTAGCCTTTGTTCTACCCAAACAAGAGCCTGGTGAAATGTGCAGTAGGGAAGAGTTCAGCATGTTCTTTGATGCTCTGTCATTCTACCAGTTACATTATGTGGTCAGGCTGGTAAACCAAAACTGAACAGAGCAGGGCTGTTAGGCAGTTATTCTAGTACATCCAAAGTAGTTCTAGACTTGTTTTCACTTCCAGTTATTTATCAATCCCATTGTTTGTTTCTCTTAAACTGGACTTGCGTCTTCCAAAGAAGAGCAGTTCAAAATCACAGTCTATCTTGTCTCCATCTAGCAGTATGATATCTAGCCTATTTGGACTTAAAATACTAATTCTGGAAATACAGTAATTTCTATCTTGGGAACATGCAGAGGCACAGTATTTTAGGTGTGATCAGATCAGTGTCTGGGAAATGCCAGATTTCATGATGCTGAAATCTGTGTTTTAACATTCTTAGTGAAATTGTAATCTAGATAAATCTTACATTTCAGTTTCCAGTAGAACACTTAATTAAACCTTCAAGTCAATCACAGTGAGATGTTTGAAAACACTTCATTGTACTTTTCAGTCCTGAAGTCACTATCGCTGTGACTTCTCTGTTTTGTTGCCTTAACAACAAAAACAGGCCTTCGTTTCAGTCATTATTTTTATGCATTTTCTCCATGCATCTCCAAATGTGACTTTTCTTACTGCTCTAGCATCCAGCACAGAACCGTGTGTCTAAAGCTCTGAAGTCAAATTTTCCTTGTTTTTATTTTTTTTTTCCACTTTGGTATTCTTGCTAAAAGAGCATTCAAAATGCCTTGCTATGAGCTGTGGCTCTAACCTGCTTGTATCTTAAGAGTTCAAAAGCTTTGATGCTTAGACAGAATGAGGCACTGTTATGTCTGTACAGTGGATTTATAGATGTGTTCTGATTCCTGGATAAAGATACAGACACTATAAAATTCATGGGGACATGCTCCTTCAGTAACTTTCCTTGAATACATCTCTATCTGTGACCTATGTACACCTGTGTCATGGGGTTCTATGCTTACCAAGCTGTTGTGTTGTACTGTTGCATCTTTATTATGTAATAAAATTGGAATTCCTCATTTTTAAGCTCTATTAGTCAGCAGTAGCCCATTTGTATACTGCTTGGAAGCTGCTTATAGCAGTGTTTCACAGCCAGTCTCATGGAGAAAAAGAAATAAGAATATCCTAAATCTGATGGTTTACTAATCTTATATATACTCCACCACTATCCTTCCTTTGGATTTTGGTGTTCTGCATGTTCTAGTAGGTTACCAGAGATCATTGCAGTTGATTCTGCACCAGTCTTTGCTTGACTGCATGCTTTGAAGCATACAAAGTGGATCAAAGAGATACTGCTGGCAAGAATCTCCTGCTCTTAAGTACATAAATACAATGCATAAAGGAACAATACACTTTAAAAAACTTAGTTTACTATACCAGAAAATAACTTCTCTTTTTGACCTCTGAACCTTGGTTTGAAAGTATTTTAATTAAAACTTATAAAATCGGTATTTATATTTACTCCTTTGAAGGTAATGATGAAAGATGGACAGTGGTTTGAAGAGTGGAAAGATGTGCCTTCAAATAGACAAACACAAATACGTCCCACTATGTTTCCAGTAAAAGATGAAGAGAAGCTGAAGGCAATGAATCTAGAGCGTTGGTAAGTTCTCCCAGAGTTTCATGAGGTTTTGATGGTTACCTTATATGGTGGTAGGCATATTATAATCAGGTCAGATTAGGAATGTGTTGCAGTATAGACCCATGCTTGTGTAGGTCTGAGTATATTTTGATGTGAAGTGGCAGTCCACAATATTTAAATTCCAGTGAACTGAGGGAAATTATTAGAAGCTGATTACAAGAAATAAGTACTCACACAAACAAGTCAAATTCTTTGCATCCAATAGAGATACATAGCCAAAATTACTGGAAAAGTATGTAAAACTTTAACATTTTAACAGACTTCTTTGCCATGAAAGACTTTCATAGCTATTCTAAAAATAGTGTTTAGAAATGAGTCACTAAAGCTCATTTGAATGGTGAGAGGAATGCATTGCACCGATGCAAGTTATTTTGCCAGAACGCTCTATTTCAGATCCTGTTTCTAGCTTGATAAACTAAATCTGCACAATCCTACTAGGAATACTTAGTTTACCCTGAAAACAAATATAAATGTGACACTTATCGTACTTTGTGAGAGCCTGAATGTTGATGATGAATACACTGCAACCTTTTTATTTTTCCCCCTCCCCCCACCTAGTCTTAGGATATTGCCACATCACCAGAACACAGGAGGTTTCTTTGTGGCTGTGCTAATAAAAAAATCTCCAATGCCATGGAATAAACGCCAGCCTAAGGTAACTTCTTTTAAAAGAGCTAAAATGTTCACTTCTAATAACATTTATGGAATGTTTTTGAAAGCTTACATAATAGAAAACATGCTATAGCTGTTTTGCCCTTCGGTTATAGTTCCGTATGCTAATTAAAAATAAATTCCTAAACCCCTTAATAACTTTTTTTTAAAAATCTCCTTTTAAAATAGAGAAGCAAAAAAAAAGGAGGGGGGAATTTTGAAGTCATAGTAAAATAGCAAGATAAAACTTGAACGTAAAATTAAGGCTTTGAAAGAATTACAGAAGCAGATTAGATTGGGCAGCTGCAGCTATCACTTCCTTCATCTGTGTGTGATCCCTCTGCTGAAGGCTTTTTTCTTCTGTGTTGTAAGCTAATTCCGATTTCGGTTTGTCTTACTCTGTAGCTGGTTGCTCAGGAGTGATTCACTAGCAGATTAGTCTAGCAGATCAGCATCAGGGGCGATAGATGTAAAACTGTTAAGAGCAGCAGCAGCTTCAGCCATCTGACTAATCTGTTTGTTGACAATTGTCTTTATATTCCTGTCAACAGGATTTTAAGTTGACATGATTTATTTGATCTCTTAAATTGTTCATATCATTAAGAGACATTTCATTAAGAGACATTTCTTCTGTGAATCCCTTTTAGCTGTTCCCATTTATCTGATTTGCTTCACCTTATGAACAAACTCTTAAGAACACCTTATGAATAAAATCTATGTGGCAATAAGGAAAAAGCACTTACTCAGAAGCAAGAATCATCCAAATAGTTTATGCCGTTCTAAGTTTAATGTTGTAGGACTCTTATAGAAAGTGTGCAGCAGCAGGATGAGTGTGTCACTTTGAGCACTAGGAGGAAAGCAGCAGATCCTGACTTAAAATAGTCTTCTCTGTGAGTGCTTGAGCATGATTTTGTAAATGGCACAAAAATAGTTTTATTGGACAGTTACTAAGAAGTTGTCCAGATCTGTACTAGAGGTAAATGCAACTTTTATCTTGACTTAGCAATCAGATTAACTCTCTAAATGGATCTGTTTAAACACTTACATACAAATTGATAAGAATTAAGCACATGCAAAGAGAGAACATAGAAGTTAGATACTACTTACACTTTGTTGAAAATACTATAATTTGAAATAGATTCATCAGAAATTACCACAAAGAACAGGAGATACTGAAGTGACAGCAGCTAATTCAGATAATGGTTCTGAATGTATTACTGAAGAACCAACACTTGCTGAAAATGAAGAGTGTAAGAAAATGCAGGAATTGGAAAATTCAGACACTGAGCAACGCAAAAAGGAAGGAGTATGTGGGTAAGAGACCAAGTCTAAGTGTTTGTCCTGTGACAGCTTTGTAATTGCTGAGTATTTTATAGTTCTTTCGTTATTGGACTCATTTAGAAATCAGTCCAGAAGAATTAATAATGAATTTGCTCAATTGCCCTATGATTCCATGTTTTCTGTTTTGTATTTCAGTAAGTTATGAAAATAACCACTTTTCTTATTAGCACTGGCAAAGTCTGTTAGTTCTTTCTTGTATGTTAAGGAAAAAAAACTACTTTCAGAAGTTAACCTTTGGAAGATCTTTACAATTACTCCCTCAGAAATCTCTCTTTATTTGTTTTGTGGTTTCTGTTTTGGATCATTGCTTTCACTTCCTTATTTTAAGAAGTTAGATTGTGGGTAGTGTTATCTTAGTGAAGCACAGGAAAATGTTAGTTTTCTGTTTGACATCCTATCGTTACCACAAGGCAAGTGTTGACTAAATGAACTGAATATACTGATATTAAACCAAGTACTTTTACTAAAATTGACAATGCAATGGCATTTTCTTTTTAGACCACCACCATCTAAAAAAATGAAGTTGTTTGGTTTTAAAGAAGACCCTTTTGTGTTTCTCCCTGAAGATGATCCATTGTTCCTTCCTATCCAGTAAGAAAAAAATGTTTCTGTTTTGGTAGTAAGATTCATAGTAGTTTAGGAATATTAGTAGTTCAGTTCATCGCAAAAGACAGGTCTGGTTGGTCACACATAAAACTTTTTCCTTAACTTTGCACCAAGTACCCATCTCCTCAACACTTAAACTCTCCTTAAATGAAAATAGCCAACTATAGTGTGCACTGGAAATTTTCAAGTGTATCTTAGCTTGTCTTTCTGCTGTCATGTATCTTGGAAAATCTGATCTTTGTGTTCTGAAGCCAAAGTGTTAAGTGTTTGCAGAGATAGCTCAAGGAAGCAGGCTAACCCATGCATTTTAAGTATGTGATGTCATTGTTCAGTTAATCAAAATAAGTATTATGACCACAGGAAGTTTTATGCATTGGACCCAACATTTCCCAAGATGAATTTACTGACTCGAACTCAGGAAGGAAAGAAGAGACAGCTGTACATGGTTTCTAAGGAGCTAAGGAATGTGCTTCTGAACAACAGTGAGAAGATGAAGGTATGGTTCATCTCTTCAGTTTTTCAGAATGGAGATCATAAGCATCAGTGGATGTCTCTTTGAACTTTATAGCTGAGATTATTGTTTATATAGAGGATTAGTAGGCCGACTTCTTTTTTTTTTTCTTAGTATGAATGAATGTTTTCCTCTCTATCCCTCCTCTGTTAAAAAGATGAGGAGTTGTCTTTGAGAGGTAAATAACAGTCTCCAAGATTAAAATTAGTATGCTTTTTGGCAGATGGAAGGGAACTTGAAAGTAGAGGAAGGGAATATGTAACTGCTATGTGTGTACCAGCATTTTTATGTGGTCTTCAGGTACCTTCATAAGTTTATATTGACACTGTTGTATTTAGGAGCCCCTTAATTATAAAAGCATTAAGAGCTTTAAAAGCCTACCAGAAATAATGGATGACTTCAGCTGAATTATTAGCCAGCTGTGTTACGTGGGGACATTGTTTCACAGTTATTTCAACAACTTAACATTTTCAAAAGTTAAGTTGAATGATAATGGGATAAGAAGTAGTTTTTGTGAATTAAAGGGAAAAATTACTTTTTTTTTTTTATATGACTCCCCATGTAAAATGCCTTGCAAATGTTAAATATTAGTCTTAAAATTCATTGAATAATTTCAGTTAGAATGAGATCATCTAGACCAGCTTCCTTCCTGCCCCAAGCAGAGCTAACTTCAAAGCTAGATCAGATACAGTTCAGGACTTTGTCCAGTCAATTTCCAAGGATATTTGTTACATCTTTGCAACAGATTTTTGAGAAGGATAAATAATTATCCTTTTATCCCATATGCAGGAAATAGCTACATAATTGACAAAATTTTAAGAAACTGGTGCATTATATTAGGCAGTGAGACTTTGGGTACCACAAAGGATATAGTGTGCATAGTGTCCTAATATTAAGCACCTGTGCATTTTTAAAATCCTATCCTTGATTGACTTTCCCAGAATCACCCAGAAAATTCTATTGCAAACTACAATTAAAATTAGATCTTAATAGTTCATTGCCCTCATTTTAAGACTGCTACTTCCTCACCATGTTCAGTTTTCAGCATGGAAAGGAGTAAAAGGTGTTTACACTGAGAGAGAACTACGTTTTGATAGTGGGAACTCCTTTTCCCTTGAATGAATTTCCACATGAATTTAATTCAATGTCCAGTGCAAATGAACAAACGTTATGGCAGAATTATCCTTTTTTCCTCCTTTTAGACAAACAGTTGAGGAAGAACAAAGTTCAGAGTAATAATTTAGAATTTATACTCATTAATGATGCTTATTGTCTTTGCTGCTTGCAGGTTATTAACACAGGGATAAAAGTCTGGTCTCGCAACAGTGATGGTGAACAGTTTGGATGTGCATTCAGATTAGCACAAGAGGTAATTACATAGCATTGTATTTTCAAAGGAGATACTTTGGTTTCCTCTAGAGACTATAGCACAGCTGGCATTAACTTTGTCAGATTAATGACAATTTGCATTTTCAGTATAGTTTAAAATGTGAAAATTGTTTTCTGATATTAGCTAAGACATACTGGTTTTAACATTTTCACTTCAAAAAGTAGAGATTGCATTTTGAAATAATTATATTTATTTATTAAACAGGGAATTTATACTCTCTATCCATTCATTCATGCAAGGATTATAAATGTCTGCATAGAAGATGTTAAAATTCTGCTAACCCAGGAGAATCCTTTCTTAAGTAAATTTAGCAGTGAAACACAGAAGAAAGTCAAGGACATGGGTAAGTCTTTAATTTGTGCCATGAGAAAATTATTATTACATGATACATGGAAGAATGAAAATGCCATCACATAAACTGTGTTTGCTAAAAATTTTGACTAAGTTTAATCTTAAATATACTTGATAATTAGGTCAGTAAGCATTGCTGAAACCCAGTGTGCTACTAGAAACTGTAGTTCTTTCTGATCACAGCCTTTAAAGTTTATGAACTCCACTGAACAAATTTGTGAATTCTGTGAAGCAGTGCTTTGAGGCAACACTTAAAATATCTGATGAATATAGATTTTATATATGCTACTGATATTTATGCCTGTTAGTGCTCCAGCTGAAACTGTTGCTCATCTGCAATTGTTTGTCATGATTTTACATATGAAATGTAGTTATTCATATTTGATTTTCTTAAGTACAGGGAACAATGTCTACTCATATTAAATTTTTATTTCCGCTATGCTGGATGCTTGAAGAATTAAGACTGGTTTTCAGTCTTAAGTAAAAGTTCCTTTCTAGATTCACTCAATGAATGAATCCCCTATGTGGTTTTGTATTTAAGCTTGTTTGTTTAGGGTTTGGGAGAGAGCAGGGTTGGCAGTTGCTTTTGTAACTATATAAATACTTCGGTCTGGAAAAAAAAAAAAAATAAAAGGCATAAAAACTGGTATTGTCTGTAGTTTACTGTACTGATGTAGATAACTGCAATAACTACTAACCAGGTCATGCTGTGTGGGTGTCTAAAAACTTGTTTTCTTTAACATTTTCAAATTACAATCATTCTAACGTTATACCAAACCACAAACCATTTGTTTTTTGTTCCTCCCATCCCCCTTCCCTATAGCAATGGGAAGTATAGTTCTGAAGTACGACCCAGACCCTGAGTAAGTAGATGTGTTGCTTTCCATTTATGTAGTTTTAAAACTTGGACAATAATTTACATTCACTCAGCAAAAACAGAAGGGGAGGCATAGAGACTATCTTGCCTGTGTATTCTTAAAACAGTTGTAGGATTTAGCTTTATAAAGGAGAGCTACTAGTTCTGCCAGAGGTCCGCAATATCTCATTGCATGTGATTTATTTGTCTGTTTGCTTTCCCTGTGAAGACCAGCATTTGGAATAGAAAAGTTAAGTTTTTCGCTGTTCATTTTTGTTAACAAAGTAGTATTAGAAGCCCTTGAGAACTTTTTAAATGTAAACTTTTAGCTTGCTGTTGCTTATATTGGTTTTGAAACCAGAGCCAGAAAATTATTTTGTTTGTTGCAGAAATTTAATAGCATTGAGTTGTTTTTTTTTTTTTTTTTACTTACTTGCTTATAGACAAGCTGGTACCTGTTTGGATATTGAAGTTAAGACCAATGTATTTGTCTTCTATGAATAGTTGTAAACTGTATTCACTATTAAAGATTGTGCACTTATTTATCAGGGTATGGCCATGAAATTAAGTTTTGAAAATGAACTTTCTCATAGTTGACTGAACGTAACTGCTTGTTTGTAGAAAACCTGATGATCTTCAGTGTCCTGTAGTGCTGTGTGGTTGGCAAGGAAAGACATCACTCCGTGCCTTTGTGCCCAAGAATGAGAGACTTCATTACCTGAGGATGATGGGAGTTGAAGTGTTTAAAGCAAAGAGAAAAGAGGAGGAATCAGAAAGTAAAACAGAGGAAGAAGTTCAACATAGGCTGGTACAAACAGAGGAAGGAATGGATGTAGCAGATAAAGAACATGATCTAATCACAAAAATGGAAGCAGAAATAAGTGAAAAATCTTCCCACAGTCCTGTGGAAAGCAGTGCTATGGAAATAGAAAATAAAATTGAAGATTTAGATCATTCTAGTAAAAATGCCAACAGTCATGTAAGCCAGGAAAGCAAAGACACAGATACAAGTAATGTCAAAGATTAAGTTTCTTTATTACTTCACAGCTTCCATGAGGCTCACATCCAGACTTTTGCTTTTAGCATGGAAGTATATTTTAAAATTTCGGTTGGAATGGAATGTTCCTCTCTTAAAATTTCACCTATTTTACTTTTAAAATGAAAACTATAAAGAGATTTCTCTTCAGGTGTGTCGTCTTTTTACCATTTTAAGTTCCATATCACTGGTGGGTTTGTGTGTCTGTTGCTGGCAATGGACCGTGCACCAGAAAAAATCTAAAGACCGTATTTGAAATGGGATAATGGTATGTACAAATGAACTGCCTATGTAACTGGTCAGGAATTCCTCCAGAAGGAAAAGCTGTGGTTTCATTCAAAGCACATAAGTTCTAGAAAAACACTTTTTCTCTTAAGGTTGCTTACTGCACCTACCACCCAATCTGATTATTACTTATACAGGTTCTTTAATGGATAAGAAAATCAGCATGAGTATGCATACAAATTCACATATAGGATATCTAACTAAGAACCTGGTTAACGTTTATTCGAAATAAAACTGTGCACAACATCCTGGGAAAAAAAAGTGCAGAATGCATTTTTTCAGAGACTGATGTTTTGAGATTCTTCTTCAGAGTGATGAATTGCTTGACAGCTAGTAATTGTCATTAACGAGATCTTCGGGTATGGTGAGCATGCCACAAATTCATCTCTTGAAATGTGCGTATCTAAGTGTCTGTGACTATCCCTCAGATCTATTGCTGTCATCTGTTTCTCTGTCATTTCTTCAGGTGAGAGTCATCTCTTAATTTTTGCAAGATACTTGTTTAGAGCTGAAATAATAGTTAAAAACAAAACAAGAAAATGTGATGGTATTTATATTGTATAGTAGATGTTTAAAATAAGTTATTTAGGTCCAAAAGAGTAATGTACTTAATCTGACACTAAAAAAAAAAAATCAGTTAGCTACCTCAGAAACTTATATTATAAATTCTGTCCTTTGTGGCTTAGTTTCAGCAATACTCTTTGTACTTGTATCAAGTTGACCTGAAAGGAAAGTGGCCAGTGGTACAAGATATTGTCCTCCACTAGCACAGTGGTGATTCAAATACTTGTTGCTAGTCATACTGAATTTTACCATGTGTATTTTAACTCACAAAGTCCTAATGTGGCTAGGATCCACTTGTCCCCCTACAACAGACTTTCTGATGCCTCCCCTTGAACTACTTCATCAAAGGGAGTATTCTTGAGGGAGAGATGTAAAAGTGAAATAATGCCATGTCCTCTGATAAGATACTAGTCTCATGCAGTGAAGAACCATTGACAGGACTCATTTTCCTCTTGAGAGTCAGTAAAATAGGTTAGTAAAAAAACAGTTCTTGCCCTTGTATTTTGCTGAAGTTTGAGTTTGTTCTTTGAATCGGGCACTGCGATTGGACAGGTGCTTTTTTGGCAGCTCCGTAGGCTGAAGAGCAGCATAGCAATATTTTCTGTTGAATGGAGGTGTACACAAAGCATAATTTTTAATTCTCAAGAGTATACGAGGAAGAAAAATGGTAACAACTTTAAGCATGAAATTTAACATTGGTTCTTTGCATTTATTCTGACATTGGGCATTTGAAATGGAAGAAGGGTGAAAGAACAGTGTCATTTTTTTTAGTCCTCATCACCATCAGTCTGCAGTACTCAACCCTGAGGATGGCTGATTTTAATCCATCTAATCTTTTTATGCTCTGATGATCTTCATAAATTATTGGAAGGTCAAGTGTTAAAACTTCTGTGAAGAAACCAGAATTTGTTTTGAATTATGCATGCTGTTACCTTATCTACTGATGGTCCTGAGCAGCATTTTAAGCTTTGTCTCAGTCAGTGAGTCTAAGGATATAAGTTTATGACAATTTAAGCTGATAAGAATACTTTTTCATACAGACAATCCAGACAATTAAATCAGAAAAAAAGATAACTGTACAGCAAGTGAACAGTCCTGATTATTTTCTTTTTGACTGAGCTTACCACTGGTAGACTAAAATGAGAGTAGAAAGCTTTTATCTGGGAGCTAAAGAAAAGTAGGTTCCTGGATCATAAATGGACTGAAACTGGGTATAACTTAAACTTGTAATAGAATAAGAGTCCACATCTGCATAATCTTAAATCTTTTGAGTAGTCCCATTTTCCTGCATTATCTGTGAAATTTTGCTTTGCTCTTAGCTTTTTGGAGGTTTTTCTTTTCCTGTCAAGTGGGAGATTTCAGCCAAGAAACTGGGAGCCTAATTTTCTTGTGCTGATCAGCAGTTTCACTCCGTATCTCAAAAAAACTCTAGAGACTGCAGTTTGGGGTTTGTTTTTTTAATACTATGAGTTTGCTTACACCAGTTGCTCTGTCTCAGTTACTCTTGCCTTGAGTGCCAAAAGGAAGATGCCCCAAACTCTTGGTAGCAGCTGAAAATCCTGTCCTAGTTTTCCAGGCTGGGAGCCTGATTAAATTGTTTTGTTTGTCTGCTGAGCTATGTGCCACTATGGCTCTGATGTCCAAACCCTCTGCTTGGATGGTTTTGAATGTGGGTTGGTGCAAATAATTTAAAAGGAAGATGAAAGAATTGATATGCAAGCATGTTAATTTTGAAAATGTGGAAGTCTTAAAAATCACTAGGTTTGAAGTTCATGAATTAAGTCCATCCTTGTAAGCAGTCCCTATTAAATGTGAAATTTCTCTAGTAACATTGCTGTTTTTTAGAAATGTAGAATGGTAGATGTTAGCACTGATGGCAGGGGGTTTTATATGTGCTAGAGGGGAAGCAAGAAAAAAATTCCTACATCTAAATGTATAGTCTGTTCATGTTCTGCTTGGAGATGCCCTCAGGAGAAGCTGCTGGATCCTCCAGAAAATAATCTATTGATTGAAAAGCCTAGAAAGAAAGGAGGGAAGAGACCACATGGGATACTTATTTGTAGCTTTTTCTTCAGTGTTTACTCAATGTTAGTTGTTGTTTTGGAAGTTTGTTAGACTTTTTATGTTTTAGTTTGATGCAAGATGAATATTCCATAATCTGGTGCCACCAAGGTGATTTATTTTTTTCTTAAATGTCTGAATCCTATTAAAAGTCCAAGACTTCTCCAACTCTACAGACCCGTTGAAAAATTCCTGTCTATAAACTTCAATTTCAGACTTGGCAGTAAAAGAAAGCATTTTAGCTCCTGTCACAACCCTTCTCAAAGGCTGCAGCAGAGGGAAATCTGTGCATGCATTTCTTCCAGGGGAGGAGTCCATCCCAGAAAACAAGCAGCGGTGTGCTCGTGGAGCTGAGCTCGGCAGCCGGCCGTGGCCTGCTGCCTCTCCAGGGCAAGTGTCGTCACCAGCCCCCAGCCCAGCACCACAGATGCACCCGCCGCTCCATGACCCCACAACTGCCCTGACACCATCAGCTGGCATGTTCATGGCACCGTGTGTTTCTGCCACCCCACTCCATGGTGTGGGGGGCCCGGCGGCCCACCCCGAGCACCTTGCGGGCCTGTTCCATTGGGAGCGGGGGCAGCACGGCGCTGTGCGTACCCCCAAGGTGCGGTGTTGCTCGTGGGGTGTGTGCACTCTTTGCTCCAGGTGGATTTGCCACACCTGCCACTGATCCTTGTATCAAGCACGTGGTTATATTTAATTATGATGTAATTTGTTGCTCTGTGCTGCTTAAACAGACCTGATTATTGGTTTTTTGACTAAAATCTGGTTTACCTCTTATGGTATGACTGCTTGTGTAAATGAATTTAAATTAAGCTACTTCTGCACTTGGTATTCCTATTCAGTTACGTTTAAGCAGGCTGTTGGCTATGTGGGTATTTGTCTTTAACCCTGTCATTTTCTTTAAATGAGTTACCCATGTGTGACTTTGGCAGGATGGGTAACTCCAGGCACTCTGTCACTGAACCATCCCTTGAAAACATACCTGTACATTCCTGCCTCACCTCTATACCTCTTTGTGAGTGGAAGATGCAAAGCATTAGAAACACATTTTCCATTCATCATCCCTTGCACTTATTGACTCTTCCAGTTTTCTTTTAGTGTAGCTCAAAGCGTCGTGGTTTGAGCTTAGTCAGGAGCTGAACGCCACGCAGCCGCTCACCCACCCTCCCCCCACTTGGGAATGGGGAGGGAATCGGAGGGGCAAAGGGAGACTCATGGGCTGAGATAACGGTAACAGAACAACACGCTGACAGCAGTATCAACAGGTAATGTACAATACAGTTGCTCACCACCTGCCAACTGACAACCGCCTGCTCCGGGCCAGCGGTCCTGAACGCAAAGACGCCATGGCCACATTCCCCGAAGTGAGAGCCCCTCCTGGTTTCTCCTTCCTTTATATGGTGAGCATAATGTCACATGACATGGACTATCAGCCAATCCGGGCCCAGCACTCCAGCTGTGCTTCCCCCCACCCCCGCACACAGGCAAGGGCACATGGAGCTGGAGAGCCCTGTGCATCAGCTCTCCTCCAGCTACCAAAACAAACATGAGCTCTGTTCCAGCCTGAACCAGGACACAAAGGCTTTCAGGTATGTTAGCAATGGACTTTTCTCTGTTTCTAAAGAGAAAACCAATACGAACAGTGACCAAAACAATTCTTACAACGTATATAAGAACAGGGCAAATGTACAGTGATCCTTGTCCAGAACGTTCTCCCAGACTCCAGCGGTTTCTTGGACCAGAGATGTCGTATTTGGGTTCAATGGTCCCTTATTTTTTTCTTCCATTAATTTGCCAGTTGCTCCCTCAGACCATGTGAACTTTTAGTGCTTACCCCGTGGCAAGGAGCCCCAAGATCCTACCTGGTATATGAAGTATTACCTGCTTTTGGTTATTTTGGCTCCTCATAGTTTTGGTTGATGGTCCTCACTTCTTACACTGGAAGAGACTGAGCAACTGATCACTGACAAGTTTCTTAGAAGGCTTGTGATTTTACTGTCTTCTTGTCATATCCTTTATCAGTCATCTTTTTTCTAAGCTACGAGTCCTAGCTTACTTGTTTGTTCCCTGTATGGAAACTACTCCAAACCTTTCATCATCTTTATCAGATGTTTCTGAACTTTTCTCAGTTTTGATGTCCTTTCCCAGGTGGAGGAACCAGAACTACACATGATGCTTATGATGTGGCATTTGGGCAAGCTTGTACTTTCTGTTCTGTCCTTCAGTGATCTGGTTGGTGTTTTTAATGGTACTAAATACTAAGCTGATATTTCAGTGGAATTGCCTATCATAACATCATTACATCCTGAACAGCATTTGAGAACCTGTTGTTTTATATGTGATGTTAGTGTTACTTTTCCACACATAAATCACTTTTATCTCTATTGAGTTTCATTTGCTGTTTTATCACCCATTTGCTCAGTCTTGTAAGATCCTTCTGCAGTTCTTTGTAGCTGCACTTAAACTAATAGCTACTCATTGAATTGTATCCTGACCAGAATATTTTTCTGGAAGTCTGCAGGTCCTTGGTAGCTCTGAAGGGATCGTGAGCTAGTTTCATTATGACAAGATCATAGGAGAGGAATTTCACATCAAAATGAGGATGAGGAGGGTGACTGAGCATCAAAAAGAGTACAGTATTTAAAAAACCTAAATATTTGGCCACAAAATGCTCTCATAGAATGCTTTTCATCTAGAAAATACCAGCTGATTGGAGGGGAAAAAAGTGCCTTTAGGAACACAGCAGTCGAACTTCTGGCAGCCTCCCCTGAATCTTTTCCAGGGCTCCTCAACCCAGAAATCTATCTGCAAGGCTCTTGAGAATCACACCCTGAACTCCTGTCTCCTGTGGCTTCTCAGCTTCAAATTCACCAACTAACTTTTGTGCAACAAGGTGATATCCCAAACATTGTATTATCAGTATTTCTTGCCCTTGTAGGTTTGAATGTGTCCCTGGCCAGCTGGCAGTCTGGTCCACTGTCCAGCTGTCTGCTCATATTTTCAGCTGACAATCTAGGGCACTGAAGAGGGATTTGGGGAAAGAGCCTGAAATGCTGAAAATGACTGTTTCAGATGTTCCAAGTGGATTTTTAAAACAGTTTTACCCTGTAGAAAAGTTTGTGTTTTGAACTCTTCATTCTCAATCGTCTGAATTTTTACAAATGCAAAATCTCCTGGGAAATGAAATTCCAGGTACTGCATGGTAGCAAACAGCATCATGAACATAACACTGTTATAGCATGGTAGCATCTCCCAGTAAGAAATGCAGATGTAATGACAACTAGCATAACTAAAACTTCCTAACATTTCTTTTTTAGACTCACTTGCTAACGTATCAGTGTTTGATTAGTTTATTCATCCAAAGAAAAAGGCAGAAATAAGGGGGAGAAGGGAGGACAGAACAGAAATGGTAACACCCATGGTGCTGGATGCAGATAGGTAGGATGTAAAGCCAGGTGGCAAGTAACTTAAATGTTTCAAGGTTGAGCTAGCTGAGGGATGGTTCTCAGCAGCTATTTTTGAAATGTTACAGGAATTGTATGTTCAGTTAGGCAGCCTTGTAGGTTCCACATACCACGGAGAGTTGAGCCAGGTCTGAGCTTGCAGATGAATACCTGCCTACAGACAGCAGCTGAGGACAGTACATCAAGAGCCAGTCAATCGCTGGGAGTTTTTCTGAGTATAAAATCACAGAAACAGAATCATTTAGGTTGGAAGGGGGGGCCTCTGGAGGTCACCCAGTCCAAACCCCCACTCAAAGCGGGGCTAACTTCAAGGTTGGGCCAGTTTGCTCTGAGATTTGTCCAGATCAGTCTTGAAAATCTTTAAGGATGGTACTTGTGCCACCTCTCTGGTCAAGCTCTTCTAATCCTTAACCGTTCTCTGGGGAAGAAGCTTTTCCATATGTCCAGTTGGAGTTTTTCCTGCTGCATCTTCTGCCTGTTGCCTATTGTCTTACCACTAAGCTTCCTTGAGAAAAGTTTGCCTCCATCTTCTCTGCAACCACTTCTTGGGCTGTTGAAGAGAGCAGCTGAAACCCCCTTAACAGTCTTTTCTCTAGGCTACACAAACCCAGTGCTCTCCTCCCCTCCTCGTTCATCAAACACTGTTGCATCCTAACCATCTTGGTGGGCCTCTCCAGTTTGTTGGCAGATCTTCTAATGGGGGACCCATGCTGGACACAGTACTGCAGATCCAGCCTCACAAGTAATGAGTAGTAGAGAACACTCATTACCCTCGACTCTCTGGCTTCTTCATGGCTGTTTTAAATTTCAAGAAGTTTATGCTGCTACATTTATTCTAGAACTTTCTTGGTGATTTTTCATGCCTCATAACTTTGTTTTCATGTTCTGATTTTTCAAATTGCTTTTTTCTTGATGACAGAAAAAAATCTGTGCAGCTGTGCAAAATGTGCCAATTTACTGAACAAGAAGATATAACTAACTTTGCGAAGTTATCTTGCATACAAAAAGAAAATAAAATGAAATGCAAAGATTTTTCAGTAATCATTGCTTAAGGACTTCTTATGTGGTGAGACACATGATAATGTAAATTATTTTGAATGATGATTTTTTAAAATATCATATTTAATGTGTGGATCATCTTTAATGCAAAGATACATATCTTATTTTCTGACTTAAAGTACGTACCCCTTAATGCAAAAAGGGACTGGAACTTGTGGGAATGCCTCACAATCTCTATTCAGGGGAACAATAAATTGCTCTAGAAATATGGGTTATGGAGGTAGAAAATATGTTTCTCAGCTCTGTCTGCAGTACAGAATGAAACCAAAGGGCATGGCTACATTGTGGTAAAAAAAGGAACAGCCAGAAGCTCCCAGCTTCGTCCACTGCCTACTCACATATGTCCTGCAGGCAAAGAGGGTTTGAGTTTGAGTCTTGCTGACTGGTTCAGTGTATAATGGATCTGATCTTGGGAACAATCTCAAAATACTAGTGAAACAGCAGCACAAACTGCTTCTCATCTTCTCGCCTGAGGTCCTGTC